AACAAAACTGTCATCAACTTGTCCCTTAATTGTCAATTTTATTTATTTTACTTCTGACTCTTAGGTGTGATGATTAGGGAGATCTTGGTCATTTCACCTGCAAATTAACAATTATATGAAAACATTCTTCATGTTACATTATTTCAGGGATTCCGTCTCATCAGTTGTTTATCAGGCATTGAATTCACATGCTGTGAGTGAGCAGATGTGCAAAATTAGGATTTCTGAAAAATATTTTATTCAGATAGTTACATTTAAAAAGGAATGGTGTATCTTGTCATTTGCACATAGGAATCATTTTAATTCTTATTTAAGGATTTGTGTAGCATTTGGATTCCCATGTGTGTGATTTCTAAAACTCAAATGCAACGCTTTTGGTTTCTAACATCTTTCCAAACTATCCTGCAGATATACTGGGAACAACAGGAAAATGGATAAGAACATATTCACACAATGGAATGTCACCAGCAGTAGAAAGGAACAAATGTGTGAATATCAAAAATATTTTGCTGAATGAAAGAAACTTTATAACCACGTTAAAAAAAAACTTTATATGAAGTCACATAATAAGCAAATCTAATGAATGGGGTGAAGTCAGTGGGAACAAGTACTGCCGATGTCTGCAAGTTATTTTGAGATGCATCAAAAATACAAAATGGGTAGATATGTGTTATAAAGCAAGTATTATTAAATGTTAATTGTGGAGTCTAGCTTATCAGTAAATGAGTGTTCACAGTACAATTATTTTAACCTTTCTATATAATTGAAAGTGTTCACAATAAAAATGCAAGAAAAAATGCATTATTTATTACTTTTAGAGTTTAAAAAATATATGTGAGATTTTTTTTTTAACTTTTCAAGAAGAAAACACAGTGGCAACAAAGGCTATCTGTGAAACGTTGCCTCTGGAACTCTTTAAGAATGTCTTACCATGTTGGCTCTGAATGTGGCCCCTCCTAAAGTCAAAGCTAGTTTATATTTCAACATCCTCTCCATCTTTGTGAGTCTCTGATTCCTGTTCATTATATTTATAAAGCACTGGGATGTGAACATTTCAAATGATAAAACATGCTGTACTAGTGTCGTTTCCTTTTTGACACATTCCTAGACTGGTGTGTCAAGAAAATGCTGTAGGGATGTTCTATCTAGATCTTAGCAAAATAACTGACAGCATTTCATATTAACCTTGTGGACATGATGGAAATATATGAACTGGACAGTGAAGTAATTAAGTGGATTTGCAAGTTATTTACTGAATGTATTATAGTCCTGAGTAATAGTTGATTTTCATTTAGAGAAAAAGTATGTTTTCAGCTTTGTCTTTTGCAGTGTTTCTATCAATAAACTTGATGAAAATACAGACATTATCTTTAAAACATGTGTAGGTGACACAAATCTGGATGTGGTATAGAATATATTCGTTGATAGAATAAGGTTCCAAAACAGTATCATTGAAAGGAGTGAGGGACTGAATTAAAAACAAAACAGCTGGATGCAGTGGCTCACGCCTATAATCCCAACACTCTGGGAGGCCATGGCAGGAGGATAGCTTGAGCCCAGGAGTTTGAGACCAGCTTGGGCAACATAGTGAGACCTCGTCTCTACAAAAAAATCAAAAAATTAGCCAGATGTGGTGGTGCATGGTACTCAGAAGGCTGAGGCAGGAGGATTGCCTGAGTCCAGGAAGTCGAGGCTGTGATGAACCATGATCGTCAGTGCCACTGCACTCCAACCTGGGCAACAGAGTGAGACCGTGACCAAAAAAAAAAGAAAAACCAAAAAAAAAACCCCAAAAAAAGATAACATGTATGAAAGAGTATAAATTATTGTACCTAGTATCAGAAAAATGAATTGTGTAAATTCAAGCAGGTTAAATATTGCAGTCAACTTAAAATTGGTGTGGGATTTTTAGTTGATCTTAAACCTAATTTGAAACAATATTACCGGAAGTACTAAGATGACCATAGACTTCAATCTAGAATATGAGATCTGCTGAGAAATTAGAAGTGGAGTGTGAGAAAAAGCGTGAAGGATGACTCCGGTGATACTGGTCTGAGATGCTAAGAGCAGGGGTAGCACTTGGTATGAGGAAACTGTAAAGAGAATAGCTAGAAGATGGAGGGAGATAAGAATGAAGAATTTGGCTTTGGGCATATTAAGTTGAAGTACCAAGTAGAGTAGTTAAATAAGCACCAAGATACCTACATCTGGTGTTCAGGGGAGAAGTAAGGACTGAGAATCTTCAATATACTTCAGTAGTTCCCAACCAGGGCTAATTTTATGTCCCCTCCCCCCATCTCCAGGATATTTTCCAATGTCTGCACGCATTTTTTCTTTCTTGAGTCAGAGTGTCAGTCTGTCGCCCAGGCTAGAGTATGATGATGGCCACCATAGCCTCTACCTCCTGGACTTAGGCAATCCTGCCTCAGCCTTCCAAATAGCCAGAACTACAGGCATATGCCACTAGGCCTGACTAATTTTTTGATTTCTCATGGAGACGAGGTCTTGCCAAGTTACCCAGGCTTGTCTCAAACCCCTGGGCTCAGGCAACCCTCTTGCCTTCATCTCCCAGAGTGCTGGGATTATAGTCGTAAGCCTGGCCTCAGCAGACATTTTTGTTGATCAGTTGTGTAGCGATGGGAGGGTGCTGCTGGCATCTATTGGATGGAGGCCAGGGATTCCCGTAAGCATCCTACAGTGCATCGGACAGTCCTTCATAGCAAAGAATTACCTGGTTCAGGATGTTAATAGTGCTGAATTTGGTATACAGTAACTCCCCTACGTACAAATCTCCAGGTTGCAAACTTTCAATGTGTCTAGTCACATAAGTTAGTTCACAGCTCTGGTGTACATTCACGTACATCCTCTACAAGTGGTTATGCTTTTGTGTACTTTACATTACTGTGTAGAGTATAGTAGTACAATATATTTAAAGCCCAGGATATCCTGAAGCAAGCATAAAAGCAGTGGTGATGTAGCTGGTATTGTTAAGAAGCAGTAAGTGATAAGGATGGAAACAAAAATGAAAATAATTGAGAAAGTGGAGCAAGGCAAAAAGATGGTAGGCATCACTTGTTCTTTTAACATGAATTGTTCAACCATCAGCATGATTCTAAAGAACAAGGACAAGGTTAGCTAAGGTATCAGACTGATTATATTCTGTGCAGTAAGATCAGGATAAGCAGCAGATTGTTTTATGTATCAGATCTCTTGAAAAACTTTTATTTTCACTTTGATATTTTTCTTTTGTTGTTTTTGGTATGATGATATTTCATTTTTAGTTCTTTTATATTATGATATATTATGATTCTACCCATAAATTTACACACGCACACACACACACCCCCACACACACACTCACACGCATATATAATTTTGTAGGTCTGCTGAACTTAGTCATCTTCTCTTAACCTTAGTTTTCACAAGGCTCTTGGGGCATCAGTCAGATAACCTTGAAAGTCTAGGATTCTTCTTTGTGTCCTTTTTTTAAAAAACAGCATTATTAAGGTATAACTCACATGTCATATAATACACCTATCGAAGTATACAAGTCAATGGTTTCTAGCATATTCACAATCCATTTTAAAACATTTCCTCATTCCAACAAGAAGCCACATACCTATTAGCACTCACTCCCTATAGACCTTCCTCTCCCACCACAACCCCTAATCTACTTTTTTGTTTCTATGGATTTGCCTATTCTGGTTATTTCATATAAATGCAGTTATTTTATATGTGGCCTTTTGTGATTAGCTTTTTTCACTTAGAATAGTGTTTTCAAGATTCCTGATGCTGCATGTATCAGAGCTTCATGCCTTTTTATTGCTAAGTAATGTTCCACTGTGTGAATATTCTGCATTTTATTTATCAATTGGTTGACATTTAAACTGTTCCTATTTTTATTATTATGGATAATGCTGCTATGAACATTTGTGTACAGTTTATTTCTCTTATGTATATAACTAGGAATTGAATTTCTGGGTCACATGGTTACTCTACAAGGGTAGAACCTATAAAATCAGGAATTTATTTATAAAAAATTGTGTATTTATCCTTACATGTTTACACTTCAGTCACCTTCAAAGTACTCTCCCTTTGATACAATTCACCTATTGAGACACTTTTTTCACTACTTGAAACAGTTTTGGAACTCATCAATTTTGTTGCCTTTCAGGACTTCTGCTGTTTCTTGTTTCATATCTTCCATATCAGCAAAATGTTTCCCTTTGAGGACTTTTTTCATCTGGAGAAGCAAAAAAAAAGTACCCTGGGGTGGGATTGGGTGAATAGAGAGAATGGGGCACAGGGGTCATACCATTTTTGGTCAAAAACTGCTAAACATTCAGCACAATGTGGGCAGGTGTACTCATAAGTCACCCTTTATGAAATGGGCAAGTGTGAAAAGAATCTCCAAAAAAAATTCACTGAAGCCTAATACAGTCTCTCATAATGATGCTAGCTGGTACACTGACCTGTCCTCTGAAAGTATTAGGAGATGTCAAATATATAGAATTTTGATTTACTTTTATTTATTTCTCACCTATTTTCTTTCTTCCTTTCCCCTCTCTCTTATCACCCTCCTCTCTCTGCTTTCTATTCCTTCCCTCTTTCCTTTTTTTGAGAGTCTATTCCCGAGTTTTTAAATAGAGGTAAGTCCAGTGGACACTTGCCAGAAGGTATTCCTTAGGATTACTAACTAATGTACCAAAATAACAGCATACACTGAATATCTGAGTCACACCCGCCTCAGGGATCCATCGGCTATGAAGTATTATCAGAGGTGTTCTTCCTGTGTAAGACTAGTGGGCTTCCACATCCATGGTGTTATTGCTATAGAGATTCCTGATTATGCTTGAAATCCAAAGCTTTAACTTGACCTGAATATCTCCAGTTAACATTCTTTTTGTTAAAGAGTCATGAACTTCTCCCCACCCAGCTAAATAAATATATGTATGTGAATGATCATTTTCGTAATATTTTTTGGTGTTAAATTCTTACAGCTCTCAACACAAGGAGATGCAAGTCAGGTGATTGGGCCTCTTACTGAAGGACAGAGAAGAAATGTGGCAGTAGTGAATTCACTGTATAAGTTGCACCAGTCAGTAACAAAGGTAACCTTTCTTTTTAATTTCATTAAACTTTGGACTTAATTTTAGGTTCTTCTTTCCTCAAACGTAGACAATTTACAAATTATTATTTAGTTCTTTGAGAAAGAATACATTAAAAATGTGATGATTTTAAAATAAGCTAAGGAGTTAACTCTTTGACCCTGGCCTTTATTATTTGTGTCTTTTTGTCTATACATTTAGTTCAAAACACAGGAAATACAGATCCTCAAGTTAATCAAATTTATTTAGCAAGTTATTTGAGGGTCAGTCACATATGTTTCATACTTATTGAAAAGCATAATTTGATATACTGTGTGTGGTAGTAAATTACTGCAAAACTAATGACAGAGTAAGAATCCTTAGGCAATGCACTGTGTTTCATGCTTGTAATCCCAGCTCTTTGTGAATCCGAGGCAGGAGGATCATTTGAGTCCAGGAATTCTAGACCAGTTTTGGCAACATAGCAAGACCTCATCTCTACAAAAAATCAAAAAATTAGTCATGTGTGGTGGCACATGCTTGTAATCTTAGCTACTTGGGAGACTTAGGCAAGATAATCACTTGAGCCCAGGAATCGGAGACTTCAGTGAGCTATGATTGTGCCACTGTACTCCAGCCTGGGTAACAGTGTAAGACCCTGTTTCTCAGACAAAAAGAAGAATCCTTAAGCCTTTCAACTCAAAAAAGTTCTGTCATTGTACAAAAATGGCAGGGAGGAGCTATATTAAAAATAGTGAATTTTTATGATATAATCACTGGTGACTACTTGCAGGTAGACAATATGTATTATTTTCTTTTTGCTATCTTTCTACTAAAGCATTTAAAAGAAATGGCTCAACTTTATTTGCCTACATATATTATTTCTAAAGTGAGCTTTATTCTTAATTACCAGAAAATCAACACTTTTCTACTCTATGACTTTTATGTAACTTGTGTTTAATTATTTCTGTAGATCAGTATTTAGTAAGTAGGAATATTTATTTAGTAAGTAGGAAAGTAAGAATATAAAAAACCTGAAGGAAGCTAATGATTAGATGATTTTTTTTGAAAACTTGACCTTTCATATGAATTTTAATATACTAGATTGTACTGTAGAATAATTATAAATGTTCATTTATTTAAAAATTATAACAAACCTACTTATTAATGAGAGATTTCTTTAAAAATGTATATTTCACACACTAAGCAAAATATATTTTAAAGTTATTAAAAGGTAAATCTCAAAAAGGTAAAGTTATTAAAAACACTAAATGATGTATTTTAATTATTATTCTAAAGTACCACAAGCATTGAAAGGTTATATTCTATTTAGCCTGATTTAAATGTCTTTATTGATATTTTCAAAATTTTCATGATGTTTGTATTGATTTATAAAAATGGAAATGCTGACATTTGTATTTTAAAGACTGGTTGAAAACTAGAGTCAGCTTAAAGGATAGTGAGGTTTATAAAAGAAATAAGTAAATATGGCTTTATGCTGACCTTTTCAAGTTAAAACTTTATAATTAAGATCTATGTAAAATGAATAAAGGAAACCTAGCTCTTAGTATTCTTAATGCTATTGAAGTATATATTTGCTTTATACATGAAATATTAATATATACTGAGTTTTTAAATCATCTATAAAATGTTACTATAAAGTAATGATAATATACATAGCTTGTGGAGACAGTTTTTATCATACCATGATCAAAGTCAGCATTTATAAAAATTAACTTAAGCAAAACTATAACTGGATCAAAACCTTTTTCTAGGTGGTTTCCAATCAGAGCTCATTCCCACCAGCAGCTGAACAAACTATAATTTCAGCCCTAAAGGTAAAATAATTTAATTTAATATGACTCCATAGATCAAGATCGTTTTAGAATTATTTGGGTGAGTGGGAGGTGTCACATTTTTTAAAATAATTAAGGATCCTCTATATATTACAAAAGTAGCATATTGATAGCTATGCCAAAGAAAGAGGATACAAGTGTGTTTGTATTTTCTAGAACTTAAAAATAAACCTTTTTGGTACCTACAGATTGTGTTCTACTTAGGATAACTGTATACCCAGAAGCAAGAGTCTTACAAGTATTTGCTGTATCTAAGGACAGTACAACCCAGTATTATCCCAGTAAAGCAATGGTTCTCCATCAGGGGGATTTTGTTTCCTGGAGGACATTTGACATTATCTGGAGGCATTTGGGATTATTATGACTAGGGGAGGTGCTACTGGCATCTAGTGAGTGAAGGCCAAGGATGCTGCTACACATTCTGCAGTGCATAGGACAGACCCCACACCTCTCCCATAACAAAGAATTATCCAGTCCAAAGTGTCAGTAGGCCAAGGTTGAGTAACCCTATTTTAAAGTGTAGCATAAAACCAGTGTGCATTATCATTTTTAATATACTAACATATGTATACCCCTTTTCTAATATTCAATAAGTCTAATAAAAAGTAATGACTTGAAATTGAGAGCCTTATGTAGTTGATAGTAACTCTTTAGAAAACAAGTTATTCGTTCTTATCAAAGTAATAGATATCCTTTATATAGCACCTGCTACTGGTCTGGTACATACAGAGGCATGCTTTGAAACATTACAGCAACCCTTAAGTAATATCTTTTTATTCCATTTTATACATCTTACAAATTATATCTTGTTCAAGGTCATATAGGTGGTAAACCCAGGTCTCATTAACTCAAAAGAGCCATGCCTACTACACCTTTCCAACATTATTTATTCATAAATTCACCATTTATTTAGCACTTAGTGAGTTAGCAACTAAGGTCACATAGCATTGACTCTGCAACCAAACTACATATATACAAATCCCATCTCAAGCTATTTAACCAACTGTATTACTTCACACAAGTTAATAAAATGCATATATAAAATGGTACAATAAACCTACACAAAGGCAATACCTTTCAGCTATTGAAATGGATTTAGATCTCTAAGAGAAAGTTTTAAAATGATATGAAACACCAGTCCAGGAATCCAGACTTTTAAGAGTGACAAATAAGAACTCTTATTTGTGGGGGAAAGAAGCAGGGGAGATGAAGGTCTACAAGTAAACCCCAAGGAGAAACACTTGTATTTAGAGAGTAAAGAGGATACAAGGAAAGAACAGTCAAAGAGGGAGGAAGAAAATTGGGAGAAGCCGGGCTCAGTGCCTCAGCCTGTAATCCCGTGCCTTGGGAGGCTGAGGTGAGTGGATTGCCTGAGCCTGCGGGTTCGAGACTGCCTGGGCAACTTGGTAAGACCTCATCTCTACAATAAATCAAAAAATTAGCCGGGTGTGGTAGTGTGCGCCTGTAATTCCAGCTACCTGGAAGACTGAGGTAGAAGGATCGCCGGAGCCCAGCAGGTCGAGGCTGCGGTGGCCAGGAGCGGCTACTGCACTCCAGTCTGGGCGACAGAGTGAGACTCCAACTCAAAAAAACAAACAAAAAGAAAAAAAGAAAATTGGGAGAATATGATATCACAAGTCCTAAAGGAAAAGGAAATTTCTGAAGCCAGATACTGTCCATAGTTTACATGGATGAGGATGTAACAGGCACAAAACACGTAAGGACACTAAATTCATACATGAATGAACTTGATTCATTAAGGGTAAGAGAGGGAGACAGTCTGTTATCCCCCAGCATAGTAACAGTACACTTGGATGTTTTCTCTGTATCTTTTTCCCGTCAATGTGCCCATCTCATTGTATTAAATATTATGAAAGTTGCCATAATAAAATTTTTTTTAGCAAGAGTTGAAAATTTATTTATGACAGTAAAATTGGGTCAATATGACATACCTAACAGTATGTACTTAACATTCTTGGTTCCAGGCAGGGAACAGATAATCTTCTTTTCCATAATACCACATTTTTTTCCTTATCTTCTAGCAGTAGCTGTCAGAAATTTTTTATCACTACCCAAAATATGTTGTGACCCTATACATAACACATAAGCATTTATCAATATATATACACATATATGTAATTGCATATATGAAATGTACATCTATACTTATTTCTATAATTGATGCAAAAGTTTTGTAAAACAATACATATTCTTGTTTTGTGTATACACTCTAATATTTCCTTGCTAATCTATTTTTTTTAGACAGCAAGCATTTTATTACATTTCACAATATTGCAAGTCAGAGATTTTTGCAGAATTTGGTTGGGTGGTCCTTCTATTTCTCATGGTATCGATTGTATTGGCTTGGTGATATACACACATATGGGTTTATATACATGGCTTCCCTCACACACCTGGCACATTGGTAGAGATGACTAGAAGGCTGGGCTTGGCAGGGATCATGGGCCAAAGACCCTATATGCAGCCTTACCAACATGAGGCCTCAGGGTAGTCAGACTTCTTACTTAGTAGCTGAAGTCTTCAAGAACAAGAAGTCTAGCATCTGAGGGGGAATCTACATGGCCTTGTATAGCCTAAACCCTGAATTCACAAAGTATCACTTCTGCTATACACTATTAGTTAAAACAATCATAAGCTCACAAATTTCAAGGGAAAGAGCATAGACCACCCCCCCACCACACACACACACACACACACACACACACACACACACACACACACACCACCTCTTGGGAAGAATTCCAAAGAATTTGTGGAAATGACTTTACATTTCCACAGTCTTCCCTCTGGTCAAAAATTATTTACATTCCTCTTTCATAAATAAATATTCCCTATTCTCAAGACCCCTTTCCCAATACCCTCCAAAGGTATTATTATTGAATTCAGGTCACAGTCCAGGATCTCATCATCTAAATCAAGTTCAGGTATGGGTGAGGCTCCATTCATGTTGTTCAGATACTCTTGATCTGAAAATCTGTGACCTGAAGAGAAAAATTATCTGTCCCACACATACCCAAAATGTAGAGTATGGAACAGGCATAGAACAACATAATAAATATTTCCATTAAATAAAGGAGAAAAGTAGGAAGTCACCAATCCACTGAAATTCCAAAATCTAACTGGTCATATGTTACCAGTTTGCAACTAGCCACCATCCTGCTTTCTGGGACTGATTTTCCTTGATTTTTGGCTCTTCCCTCTAGGATCTTTGATTTTGCCCTCCATGTCATTCTTGCATTTCTGCAATAACTATTCTGTTCTTGTAGATGAGTGGCCTACTCAGCCTGCTTCCAGCCTATATATGTTTGAGGGTCCAAAAGTCTCTTTTCATTTTGTATAGTCACTGTTCCTTTTAATGCAAGCTGATGTAATTGCTTCTAAAATTTTGTGGATTTTTTGTGTATAAATTTATAATCTATCCTATTAAATAAAAGCCAAGTCCATAAATATCTTCCAGATAAACCCTTTCCTACCTCAGGCTACCTATGAGCCTGCTGTGGGATAGTGCCATTAAGATACTTGGAAGGCTTATCGTTTAAGAGAGAGAGTGTCTGTACTCCAACCCCTTAAGAATCTTCCAAGGTCTTTTATCTGTTACTGAACTCTTTTTTCTTTTGTTTTCTTTTTTATTTCAGAGTTGTGGGGTTACAAGTGGGAATTTACTACATAAGTAGGCTGCACACAGGTGAAGTTTGGGCTTTTAGCTGGCCCTCTCTCCCTCCAATAGTGAACCAAGTACCCAGTGTGTAGCCACGTGCCCCCTTCCTTTCTCTCTCCCTCCCTTCCCTAGCATTGCCACTCCCACCCTTGTGCTCCTGTGACCAGTGATCAGGACCCACTTATGAGTGAGAATATGGGTATTCAGTTCTTTGTTTCTGTGATAGTTCACTTAGTATGATAGTCTCCTGCTGCATCCAAGTTGTGCAAAGTCCATGATTTTGTTGTTCTTTATGGCTACATAATATTCCATTGTGTATATACCACATTTTATTTATCCAGTCTACTGTTATGGGCATCTGGGTTGGTTCCATGTTTTTACTATGTGAATAATACTGTAATAAACATGTGTCTACAGGTGTCTTTTTGATAGGGTGATTTATGTTCCTCTAGGTATATTCCCAGGAGAGGGATTGCTGGATTGTATGGAAGCCCAATTTTTAGTTATTTGAGAAATTACTTTTTTTTTTTTTTGAGTTGGAGTCTCACTCTGTCACCCAGACTGGAGTGCAGTGGCCGCTCCCTGCCACTGCAACCTCGACCTGCTGGGCTCTGGTGATCCTTCCACCTCAGCCTTCCAAGTAGCCAGAATTACAGGCATGCGCCACCACGCCCGGCTGATTTTTTTTTTTTATTTATTATAAAGATGAGGTCTCGCTGCCCAGGCGGGTCTCGAACCCGCGGGCTCAGGCAGTCCACTCACCTCAGCCTCCCAAAGGCGCGGGATTATAGGCTGAGCCACTGAGCCTGACTGAGAAATTACTTTTTAAAACATTATCATGACCCACAGAATTGATTTTTTTGATCCCTAATGATCATAACCCATAGTTTGAGAAAAGTCCATTCTACAGGTTAAGATAGAATGCCTTCACTTTACCTATGATACAAATCACTTGGGAAAGTTAAAAATAGATATTCCTCAGAGACTGTAATTCAGTATAGGGAGGAGTCTCTGAATCTTCATTTTTATTACAACAAAGATTATTCTTAGTATGAGTCACTTGGGACTGGGAGTTGGTGTCAGTGCAGGGAAAATTGCCATCATCTTGGACTAAGCCCTCGCTCTGAGGTTTGGTCATCAGGACCGATGCCTTGTGTAGCTGAGTGCTGTGATTTGCTGAGGCATCACAATTTTTGCCGTTCAGAAATGGATAAGAGAAGACTAGCAATAAGTTCAAGGCTTTCCTGCAGTGATCTTGTCAATTAGAGATTTAACTGCATAAGTTAACACACTCAATGAAAGC